GGTCTCTGTCACCATCAATTCCCTACTATTGCAGGGCCCTCAGGCAAGGATGCACCTAGTTCCCTCCTATTCTCTGCCTGTGGCAAGTGTTAGTTTAGTCTGCTGAGTGTAGTAGTCAAGATTCACTGGTGTGCTGACCAGACAGGTCTCCTGCTCCTTCATTGATTATAACTGTTCGGCTATGTGCATGTGCTCCTCTGTGTGTCATGTTGGCTTGTGCAAATAGCCACCACAGGAGATTCCAAAAGAGCCCCCAAAGACCACAAAAAACAGATTAGGCTACTGGACAGGTTTATTGTCAGATGAAGTACAATAATAGCTGTCAGTAGGCTCTACTAATTGCTACACATATGTGCCCCTGACAGTGGACCAACTCAGTGCCAGGAATGAGCCACTGCCCCATCGGTTGGACAAATACATCCACTCCAAGATACCACTTTATATACCAGTGCAAACAAGTTACACATCACTCCTGATGTGTCAGGTTGTCACCCTCTGATGTTACTAAGATACCACCCATCATCCTACACCTTGTGGTTTGATTAGAACATCTCTGTCCATCATGCTGTCATTTCAGACCCTTTCCTGAATCTGGATCGGTATGTCCCCGTTTTCTGTGGGGAGTGTGGATACCAAGGGTCTTGTCGGTGAGTTGGCATTACTATCCTTTCTAAATGTGTTTTCAACTTATGACCGGGACCAATTACTGTTTTACAGCCTGTATTTAGTATCAATTACTGTTCTGCACTTTGGCCTACTAGCAATTAGTGTTTTTACAATCTCAGCCCTGTCCATGCTAAGTTCTGTGAGCAGGGGACTGCCTCTTGCTCACAGCTTAGCTTTGCTTTATATTAGCAAAGTTTTGATCATTATTAGCTAGGCCTCAAGCCTCAAGCCAGGCCTGCGCTATATGGACTTTTGTTTCAGACCCTCATCTTACTATGCTGAGGTCTGTAATACTTTGGATTAACTTCAGATGTTGTGCTTTGTGTGCAGTTATTGGCTGGTGCTGGTGGCCTGGAATATACAGGAGGTCAGACTAGGTGATCTGGTGTCTCTTTCTAGCCTTAAACTCTGTGATTCCAAAAGCATGTGCTGCTACATGCAGCCTCTCTAAGCAAGTGTTAAGCAGAAATTCATTGGAACCAAACCACTGGATCTGAACACCTCTAAATCTGAGGGAAATGTAGCTATTGGCCTGAACCTGGCAGTTCCAGCTCATCTTTAGTGTAAATTTTCACTTGCACTAACATATGTTCAGTGTAATACATAGGCCTGCAGCTAAAAAAACTCTCTTGTCTTTGATACAGTTGACTATTGTTGGTGTGTGTGATTATGCAAATGTAAATTTTCATGGTCAGAGAACTACCAGCCTCCAGAAATCTTCCCTCACAGTCAATCACAGGTAATCACATATTCACAGCTACAGATAAATGTTTAACTGGTATAAATTAGTGTGAAATCATCAACTTCTATAAAACTATTCCAGTTTACAAAAGCTGAAGATATGCCCCCATATCTATTAATATTACCGGAAAGAAGCAAGATAACAGACGATCAACACAGGAGTTGTGTCTCATGAAAACTTATTCCGTAATACATTTGTTAGCCTTTTAGGTGTCACTGGACTTCTCGTTGTTTTTGCTGAAACACACTAACATGGCTACCTCTCTGAAACATAGAATGCGTTATTCATGGATCTGATGTTATTAATTTGAACAATGTGCACAGACATTGGTACTACCACCTATTTATTTCTATTTTTTTATGTTCTAATCCCACCTACATCATCATCATGTCAGTTCATTCTGTCCTTTCTTTGACTCCTATGTGGATGTGCAAGTGTGAACTTATTTATGAGGTCATTCTTAAAACAGAATGATTCTGTCATTAGGTTGTGGCTATTTGGATCAATTATGGAATGTAAAAATTGCCATCAGACCAGTGGTCCCATTTTTCATTTATTTCATTCCTATTCAAACCGTAAGAATGGCTACCAGTACCATGGAACTTAATTTATGTAATATAACCCCAGCAGCACTGATGTCCAGGTCTTTTCCTTGAACTGATGCAGTTTATTTAGAACCAGATAAGGTATATAAATAGTTTTGATGATTTCCTTCAATGCCCATTACTTTGCACTGGTCAATTCTGATTTTATCTGTCATTGTTCTGTCCATTTATGTAGCTTTGTTAATGTAATGTAAGTTCTCCCAAGGCTCGTGTTTAAAGTCATTCTTAATTGGAGGGTTTTTTTTTACTTAACTGGAGTTTTCTTATAGTTTAACTTTTGTAATGAAAGAGCTCTTATGCCATTATTAGGAATTCTCCACATCTGTTTTTTGTACCGCAGTTCATGCAATAATACCTTATAAATTGTGTCAGAGCTACCTCTTGGCATTTCCACTAGTTTGAGGTGGTCAAATTTTGGTGGTAGGATTTTGTGTGTAGGTGCTAAGAGTTGTTGGTGGCCAGGATTTCAGACTAAATGATCTGGTAGTCCCTCGTGCCTTTAACTTCTGTAAGTCACAAACTAAAGATATTAAGACTCAGAATGAGATGTATGCTTACTTGCTAAAGCGAGTCAGAACATTCTCTCTCATGGAAGCTTAAATATAGCATTTCCATTGTGAGCTCTGTCCATGCAGCTAAAATAACATAGGTTTATCCCAAGCTAGCCTCAGGGCAAGTCTACACTAACATGTTACATCGATCAGCCATGCTGCTTTGGCACATCTGATGTAGATTCACTAGGCAGATGGAAGACACTCCCCTTTTGGCTTAATTACTCCACCTCTTTGAGTAGTGGAAGCCATCTTTTGAAGACAGTGTCTCTTGCTGACATAGTGTGATCTGGACAGCACATAGGTCGATGTAATTTACATCATGCAGGGTGTCTTTTTCACATCCCTGAGCATCATAAGTTTCGTCGACTTAAACAGTAACAGCCTTCAGATTTGACCTTTTAAAAAAGCCCCCAAATGGGACCTAGAATAATAAAAATAGAGAAAGACTTCAATTTCCCTGACAATGCAACATATAAAAGCTTTAGAATGTCATTCAATTTATGATTTAGTAGTCTACAAACTGCATGATAATAGCAGACAATGCCAGGAATATCGATTTTTAAGTGCAGCCCATACTTTGTCTTAGGTGTACATTGCAAAAAACTTCTATAGCTGATTAATTCAGCTGCCTTTCTCCATCATAGTAAGCTGGTAACAACTCCAAGTGCCACCTCGTCTTGATTATCAAGATAATGTATAGGCTGTTGAATACTGAGGAAAGTAGGAATGGGCCAGTGGCAATAAAATAAATCCTAGATACACAGTTGCACAAGCAGACAGGAAAAGTAGTACCCTTTTAGAACTATTCAGTTAAAATTCTCTTTTAAATAAGATTCAGAGCAAAGACGGTGAGATGAAATCCCACTTCTAGGTCTCTACCATATATGGGAAGCAGGATCTTTTATGATGAGTTGCCTTACCTGGTATGATTGCTATCAAATCAGCTGGGCAGAAGCTGCCTGGTCTGTTCTGTAATGAAAACCTGGGTGGTCATGTCATTTCCTTTTTCTTCTTTAATGTTTTATTTATAGCAGTACTTTTGTTTCATCTATAGAATCATATAATCATAGAATAATAGGACTGGAAGGGACCTCGAGATGTCATCGAGTCCAGCCCCCCGCCCTCAAGGCAGGACCAAGCTCCACCTACACCATCCCTGACAGATGTCTATCTAACCTGTTCTTAAATATCTCCAGAGAGGGAGATTCCACCACCTCCCTTGGCAATTTATTCCAATATTTGACCACCCTGACAGTTAGGAATGTTTTCCTAATGTCCAATCTAAACCTCCCCTGCTACAATTTAAGCCCATTACTCCTTGTCTTGTCCTCAGAAACCAAGAGGAACAAATTT